CCACTAGTCAGGAACACGGCTCCCGGCACTGCAACACCACCGGCCAGGAACTTGCTCACCGGCACAGGAACACCACCGGCCAGGAACTCGCTCACCGGCACAGTTACACCACCGGCCAGGAACTTGCTCACCGGCACAGGAACACCACCAGCCAGGAATGCGGCTCCTGTCACCGGAGCACCACCAGCCAGGAACTTGCTTACCGTCACCGGAACACCACCAGCCATTCGCCAACATAACCCAGCGGTGAATGGGGCTAGCAAGGGGAATCTGCCGGCCAGCCAATAGCCAGGCTAATGACATGGTAAATGCTGTAATAATGCTCCTAGGGATAATGTGAATAGGGTGTCACACCCGTAGAGTAGACATCATTATTTTTGTTTTTTTCTCTCCCCCCGTGTATGCTCCCTTATTTTCTGAACCAAGTTGCTGAGGAACACAGTAGGTTTGATTGGTCTTATCTTTCATAGTACCACTAGTAGTAGGCAGAACCCAATTGTTAGGGGCACTGAATCTCGGTGTGCGATCGCAATTGCCTTTTCTTGTAGGATCTGCGTCGTCGTATCAGTGTGGCTGTGAGGATTGACGATGGCGCGTCAGGTCGTTCCGTTCCATCTGCATTGCGGTGCTCCGAAAGTGTGGTTGTTAGATTTCCTGAAGTGCATGAGTTGGCTGTTGGATGAGGTCTTGTTGGTGACAGAAGATGTGTATGACTGTATACATGGTGGTTGCAGCCTGGACCATCAGGTACTGAATCTGTTGACAATTTGTCACCTTTGAGTGTGCCATTCAATTTGGTCTCGTCATGGCTTGCGTGCCCGTGGACTGCATGGGCAGCGCGGTGGAACGCGTTGCGCCCCTCGAAGACATGGACGGCGATCAGTGAGCCGTCTGCCTCCGGCCTTGTGCACGGGCTAACAAGCCAGGCCAGTAGCTACGGAACAGTTTAGAACAATCAAGGCTTCAAAATTCACAACCCATAAGCAGTAAAATAACACCACAAACTTCTCATATCTCTGGCACTCCAAAAGCCACAATCCAGAACCGGTAAAACAACGATACTATCATTCCAAGTCTCATCTCTCTCGCTCTCTTCACGTCTCTTCTTGCCTAACAGAAATGAGAAAAAAGAAAAGGGCCAACAAGGCCTTAAACACACTCACAACCAACAGCAAGACCTTAAACACACTCACAACCAAGAGAAAAACGAAAGGAACTGAAATCCACAGCTAAGCATGCATATCAGTGTGTGCATGAATAGGCAGAGCAAACTTAAACACCAGTGGCTGGAGCACTTGCAGCAGCATCGTCGGGCCTGTCGATGATCCCGATGTGGGTGAGCAAGGCCCAGAGAAGCGTGATCAGCTCGCCGCCCCGGTCGATGGCCCGCAGGTGCCCTTTGAGGTTGTCCGACGGAGCCAGGTAAAGGATCATCTCCGACCAAAACCCAGCCAGCAACTCCCACAACATCTCCTCGCCTCCGGTCAGGCCCCCAAGTTGCCTTGCTAGCTTCGCGGCATCCTTGAGCACCTCACGATTCTGTGTAGCACCCAACAACTCGATCAATTGACGGTACCCCGCTTCCGGCGTCAAGGATGACACCTCAATGCCGCCGCCGCCGCAACCGGTGAGGGCTCGCTCGGCGTCTTTCTTAACTTTCTTGTAGAGGTGCTTGCTCCATGTATTATCATTAGGAAGTAGCTCGGGGCAGAATGCCACTAGATACGCGCAATAGCACGACAGGTGAGTGGCGGCGATCTTCTTCTCATAGACAACAGAAGAAGGCCGACCATCTTGTTGGTGGTGTGGGTGCCTCACCTCAAGGATGGTGGTGGCGATGTGCCACACAAGTATGGTGTCAGATGTACCTTCGTTGTTGTTGCAGGCCCAGAGTAAGTTTCTGCCAACTTGGCTCTGGCGCAGGGACGTTGTGCCTTTGCTTAGGCTAGCTCCATTTCTTAGGGCGTTGATGATGCAAGCCTTCACTTCTGATGGTACCATGCCATTATTCCTCCTCTTTCGGCCCAGCAAGTGAAGAAGGCAGCCAGGTAAGAGAAGTTGGTGAAGTTGCCTTCGGTGAAGCACCAACAACGAGGTTTGTCTCATATTGTCGTTCCAATGCCTTTGCAACATGTTGCATCTGCATCGCAACAAAAAGCCAACCCATTTCGGGACGATAGGAGAGAGCTTCAAGGAGACACGGTGCACACATCGACAGGTGAGGATTACTTTGGTCCAGCTAGAGCACATGTGGGAAGCAATATCCCTCGCCTCAGCAACCACCACAAACACAAGGAGTAACAGTAGTGGTACTAGATCAAAATACAAACTGCCAAAATATTGGCTTCTATTGGGGCTATTCAACGTTCCATGACGACAAGCGTAAACGCACCAAACTGTGTGCATCCGGTAACGACTCCAAAAAGCACTCCCATGAGGTAGGACCTCAGGCTTCACCACTAAAGGTTTCCGAGTAGGAGCAGCATTGTTGTACATCACAGGGATGACATCCATCCCAGAAAATAAGCAGTAACTGATGGTCAAGAGTGAGATAACCATGCTAAATATAGTCAGCCGGCTACCCGAGTATGAGACTGGGAGTGGTGAATCGTAATAATCATGAAGAAAAGAAAGCTCATTTGCAACCATCCTAAACGACCTTTCATGTCCACCATCCTTTAGCAACACACTTCTGCAAAATTTGAGGGTCTCGATAGAGATCACACCAGTGAGTTTGTACCTTGCAAATCGACACCTTAGCAACTTAAACAATGCAAATGACAGACATGTATCTTTCAGTTGCGGTATTGGCACCAGAAGCATGTTGTCTAATTTCCAAACTCTGTCAATGGTCACCAAGCTGCCTCCGTGAATTCCCTCCAAGTTGTTTCTGAACATGTAACCATGAGGTTGCTTCTCTACTTGTTGTTCGTCCTCACCCATAACTATGAGTGGAGGAGGCACATTTACAACCTCCTCATTTGTCGGCATTGGCTCGCCATTTTGACCACTTCCTTCTCGCAGTTGCTGCATATATCCAATAACAAGACGAGGATTGCGCCCCAGTGCAAAGGATTTCCGGGCCTTTACGAATGCATAACATTTTAATGCCATTTTGGCATGAATAAGAGCAAAAGGTGTGGATATTCTGAGATAATTAAGAGGTGTGGTCTCTCCCACGGGAATAACATGGGTATTGACAACTAGGTAAACAATCCAAATTCCTTGAATGAGAAGTTCGAAAGGGGGACGTATGCTTCGATCCTCTCTATCATCAGTAGCAACTATAGGGCTTGTATTGATAGCAGAAATCAAAACAAGGCAGGTGGATACTATGACCATGTATGTGTGAAAGAAGTTTGCGAGGCAGCTGCCAACAATTGGACTGAGAGGGACTCTAAAAAGACCGCCGGTTGATCCAGTGGCGGAGAGCACATAAGATATGATGGGTAGAAATAAGGTGGTTGCCCCCAGCAAGAGATAGCGGGTGAATCCATAGTGACGATAACGGTGGCCATAGGCGCCTATTCCGACTATGAGTCCTGCAAGGATGGCGTTGACGAGCATCATTGCCCCCACTCGCCAGAGCTGTCCTGTAACATACTCGAATAACTCATCATCTATTCCTTCGGGGCAGTAATCGAACGTACATTGCTTCAATACTGAAGTATCCTTGCAGCACACTGTTTGTACATTGGACCAGCTGGTAGAATTATCCGCCATGAGCTGATGACCAAATTTAAACATAAGTTATAATTTTTTTTGCGAGTAAACATCAGTATAAATTATTAGCACGATAAAAAAATCTGATCTTGAAAGCAACTACTGTCACAAATGCTATTAAAAATGACACTCTAACGGCGGAGACAGATGCGCAATTAAGTTGGAAATGAATAAGAAAACCATCAAAACTGGAATCAAAACGGTGTGCGGCTTTCTACTGGTTGATTAATACTATAAGTCAGTCGAGGACTGTACCTTGTTTTCGTAGGGGCGATCACACGAAGATGTCAATACAGGCCGCCTGGTCTTGTTTGATTATTCTTCGTCAGTATCTGCAAGCCATGGATCGGAGGACATGCATGGAACCAGTACCAGTGTATATAGGAGTAGAAACTACAAAGTTCACAATCACATTTGTGATGGCCCCACACGGCCAGCCTTACTATGCAATAAGAGATGTTTATCTTTTCTTTTTCCCTTTTCCTTTCTTTCTTTGGAATATGTTGCTTTCGTTTTCATCTTTTCCTTCCTTTTGTTACTATAATATGTTACTTTCTCCTTCCTTTGTCACAAAGCACCATGCATCTTGTCTTTAATCGAATGATTTGCCGTTAGATCTTTCACGTGCGTGCATGATTACCACATCGACCATGCATGGTCCGGAACATGTTCCTTGCTTCTGGGAGTCCCCTAGCCAGCTGCACACGGGCCACTGCTTTGCACAGCAGAACAGATGTGCAGTGTCCTGTGTTCGTTCGGGGAGAAATGTCGGCGGAAGATGATAGACCATCCCACGGGTCTCCACCTCTCACCGGCAACATATTTGGAATCTGGATCGGAAGCCACGTATGTTGGAATGCCATGGCCGGTGACAAGTGACCACAGAGCACGTGAGACACCGACGCAGTATGCAAAGATGTTACCCCCTCCGTTTGTATTAAATCAGCGACAAGTAAAATGGAACGGAGGGAGTAATTGTCTACCTGCGATCCGGCCTTGTTCGTCATCAGGGACAAAGCTAGAAAAAAAAGTTTTAATAGGGTCATGTCTATGACAGTGGGGTCATCCTGTATAAATGAGTGATGATTAGTACTAAATTAATGAAGCCCCATTCCTTACAAGGCAGCTCCGTCCCTGTTCGTCGTGGCACACAGAGTCGAGGTGCCCACAGCAGGTCTCAATACTGAATGTTGTTATAAAATTTGCTGCAACCAGTGCTTTGCATACTGCTGCAACTCTGCAAAAGCCCAAGTTTTAGTTAGTTGAGATCCGGTGTTATACTCATGAAATTTTGTCAAATGTGTCACACGAACACTAATCACACATTAAAAACATGTGCCTTGATGTCATTACCCTCCCAGTACAATGATCTCCATTTCTGCAAGCACGGAAATATATCAATGCTAGCCATAGGCCGTACAACGGTGAAAAGGTAACACACACACACACACCTGGGCCTGGGCCAGCACTTCTCCAAGTTCAGTGGAACGCCAAATAGAAACAGTATTGCATTTGCATTATTGAGTGTTGACAGCGAGAAGAGCTAGCCGTAACTTCTCGAAGATAAAAAAAAGGGACAAAAAAATCTTGGGAGATCATCGCTACAATATACTCCCTCCGTTTCTAAATATAGGTCTTTGTAGAGATTTCAACAAGTGACTACATACAGAGCAAAATGAGTGAATCTACACTCTAAAATATGTCTATATGCATCCGTACCGTATGTGGTAGTCCATTTGAAATCTCTAAAAGACTTATATTTGGGAACGGAGGGAGTATATATCGAAAGCATCAGCTTTATGCTTCTGTATTATCACCTCGGAACTCAGACCAACCTAATGCATTTTGATCTCCTGCACTGGTGTAGCTGCATGGTCGGAGTGGCGACTATTAGATGTGCCAGATGAGATCCCTATCTCGGCTTTGCGGAGAGGGCAGAGTGCACTGATCTTGAGCCATTTATCGATGTGTTCCTTTTGGAGACAGATTGTGCAGGGAAGTTCACGAAGCTCGTCGTTGTGCGCAGGAAATCTATCTATTCCTATAAAAATCTCAGTTGGTGATGATGATGTGTCTGCCTCTGAACAACGTGAGCCGTTCGATCTACCTGGAACCAACGGCTGAGATGTGTGTGCATAGAGACATGGCCCTGTCACCGGAGGTAGCAGATATTTACCCACTGAAGATGATATAGACCTAGGGTAGGGTCATAGGCCTGACCTATACGCCCTACCCAAGGTCACTACCCTAGAAGCAAAGGCACCCAAGAGACAACATGGAGTACCAATTGAAGGCGTCGAGTGCAATCCACTCGACCAGTCATATCATTCGGGTACCCCTCCCTCCTGATATCACTCGACCATACAAGAAACCACTCGACCTATTGAAGACCATGAGTCACTCAGGACAGCAACGGTCAGGCGTTCACTCCGTAGTCTTTAAGAGCATTAATAACACTTTATAGCTGGCGTTATCAGTAACGCCCTATCTTTATGTACATTGAACCCCTGTAACGGAGGTGGGCTGGGTCCTAGAGCACTCTATATAAGCCACCCCCTCCTCTGGGACAAGGGTTCACACCCCCTGTAACATATATTCCCATATTCCAGTCGACCGCCTCAGGGCACCGAGACATAGGGCTTTTACCTCCTTCGAGAGGGGCCTGAACTTGTAAACACTTGCGTACAATCTCACCATAGCTAGGACCTTGCCTCCTCATACCTATCCCATATACTTACTGTCAGACTTTGTACCATGACAGTTGGTGCCCACCTTGGGGCAAAGCGTCTTAGCGACTTCCGGCGAGGTTGCATTTTCTTCAATCTTCATCAACATGGTTTCCGGCGGCGGTTTGATCATGGGCCGCGAGTTCCGACTCAGCACGCTCACTTTCGTCGCCGACGACTCCGCCTGGCTCCAGGAAGCCCCCCTTGACGCCGATGCCCTCCCGATCCGTGGTTCGTCACACTTTCACGCGAGTGTCTGCAGAGTCCTCCTTTGGCAGCCGTCGACTCCGTATCAATCGGTCCTCGCGTCGTCGTCTCACTCTGCTGGACGCCGCCGCAAGCGATCTGGTCAATCGCGGCTCCAGCGGTGGGTGAAGCACGCGGTGGCCCGTCAAGCGTTCACCCCCCAAGTCGTGCCGATCGAGCCCGACGTATTTCGCTATGGTTCAGTCGACTGATTTCGCAGACACCTTTTCCAAGAGCGGGAGTTGTGACCTGATACGTCTCCATCGTATCTACTTTTCCAAACACTTCTGCCCTTGTTTTGGACTCTAACTTGCATGATTTGAATGGAACTAACCCGGACTGACGCTGTTTTCAGCAGAACTGCCATGGTGTTATTTTTGTGCAGAAATAAAAGTTCTCGGAATGACCTGAAAATCCACATAGCAAATTTTTGGATTTAATAAAAAATATTGGCGAAAGAATCAACGTCAGGGGGCCCACACCCTGTCCACGAGGGTGGGGACGCCCCCCTGCCTCATGGGCCCCCTGAAGCTCCACCGACCTCAACTCCATATATTCACGTTCGGAGAGAAAAAAAATAAGAGAGAAGGATTCATCGCGTATTATGATACAGAGCCGCCGCCAAGCCCTAAACTCTCTTGGGAGGGCTGATCTGGAGTCCATTCGGGGCTCCGGAGAGGGGAATCCGTCGCCGTCATCATCATCAACCATCCTCCATCACCAATTTCATGATGCTCACCGCCGTGCGTGAGTAATTCCATCGTAGGCTTGCTGGACGGTGATGGGTTGGATAAGATTTACCATGTAATTAAGTTAGTTTTGTTAGGGTTTGATCCCTAGTATCCACTATGTTTTGAGATTGATGTTGCTATGACTTTGCTATGCTTAATGCTTGTCACTAGGGCCCGAGTGCCATGATTTCAGATCTGAACCTATTATGTTTTCATGAATATATGTGAGTTCTTGATCCTATCTTGCAAGTCTATAGTCACATATTATGTGTTATGATCCGTTAACCCCGAAGTGACAATAATTGGGATACTTACCGGTGATGACCGTAGTTTGAGGAGTTCATGTATTCACTAAGTGTTAATGCTTTGGTCCGGTACTCTATTAAAAGGAGGCCTTAATATCCCTTAGTTTCCAATAAGACCCCGCTGCCACAGGAGGGTAGGACAAAAGATGTCATGCAAGTTCTTTTCCATAAGCACATATGACTATATTCGGAATACATGCCTACATTACATTGATGAACTGGAGCTAGTTCTTTGTCACCCTATGTTATAACTATTATATGAGGAATCACATCCGACATAATTATCCATCACTTATCCAATGCCTACAAGCTTTTCACATATTGATCTTTGCTTAGTTACTTTACCGTTGCCACTGTTACAATTACTACAAAAGTTCTACTGTTACTTTTGCTACTATTACCGTTACTTCCATACTACTTTGCTACTAAATACTTTGCTGCAGATACTAAGTTATCCAGGAGTGGTTGAATTGACAACTCAACTGCTAATACTTGAGAATATTCTTTGGCTCCCCTTGTGTCGAATCAATAAATTTGGGTTGAATACTCTACCCTCGAAAACTGTTGCGATCCCCTATACTTGTGGGTTATCAAGACTATTTTCGGGCGCCGTTGCCGGGGAGCATAGCTCTATTCTTTGAGTCACTTGGGATTTATATCTGCTGATCACTACGAGGAACTTGAAAGACGAAAGAACTGAGATTTATCCCTCAACTACGAGGGGAGGTAAGGATCTGCCATCTAGCTCTGCACTTGATTCTCCTTCTGTTATGAGTAAACTTGGGACACCTAAACTTGCTTCTGCTATTAATTCTGATATGTCGCATGTCATTGGTGATGCCACTTCTGCTATGCATGATACTTATGATGAAACTACTTCTGTGCTTGATACTACTGTGCCATTAGGTGAATTTCTTGATGAACAACTTGCTAGGGCTAGAGAGAATGAAATTATTGAAACTGATAATATTGATGAAAGTGATGATGAAGAT